TATATATGGTCTGTATAGAGAAAATGTGGAGAATGTTTCAAAAAAAAGGAAAAATAAAACTTAATTGTTATCTTGCTTTGGTCATTTAATAGAAAAATGCTTCTTGAAATATAAGCTAGTGATTTATTTTACTTTAAATGCATTTTTAGTTATTACTTTTCTTTTTTTAAATCTTTGGGCATAGAGACATTCTGTGAGATGAAAGCTTTTGCTTTCATCTCACACTGATGACATTCATCAATTTCATTATTCAAATAAATACAATATAATTGTCCAGAGAAACACAATATTAGTTTTGAGTGTGGTTGCATTATTCTACAATATTCTAACCTAAGAAACTTGCTCACCTTTTTCCTTTGGTCATGTTGTGGCTCAGGAGCTGCAGCTGAAACTCATTTCTTGATTGGAGGGAAGAACTTACAAGTAGCACCAGCTCCAGGACTAAATGTAATTTAAACATTTAAAATGTATGACTTCCATGTTACTGTTCAGCAGCACAAGTGATGTACTGTATTTCTGAATAAACATAAGAGTAGTCTTTGACTCTTACATTCCCTTAATGAGGCCTGATGAAGTCAGTGAAGGAAACCAAAGACGAATTAAAACGGAAGATGGCCATGGAGACCAAGCATGTGATGAGGAAAATACCAACTTCATGTGACCCATGGCTAAGGAGCGGCTCACAGACAAACACCCAATTGTGCTGTTTTCTTCAGTCAGCACTAAACCAGCAAGAAGCCAACTGTCAGGCAAGTACCTCTCAACTGAAAACATGCTTAAAAACCTCTGAACGGGAAATATATTCAGTGTTTATATTGCTTTTTCTTGTTGCTTTTATATAAATATATAAATGGTGACATCAAGCCTTATTAAAACAAAGTTTTTTTGCTTGTTTTGAAGTGAAAGTAATGTGTCTTGGTATTAACCACAAGTTGATTTTTGTAGAAATACTCAAGAATAATAACGCACTTATTTGAGTATTTGTGCAATAGATTTTACGTGTGACTTTTTAATTTGTCATAGAACACTTTCAAAAAAATCCAAGTTTTTAAAAAAATGTGTAAATCTCTCAGCTTTTTGAACTTGTGTCTTAAAGTAAATCTGTCAACAAGCATACTAAGTGACAAAATAAGTAGGATTCAGAACTAAACAAGTCGCTTTACAACAGCACTGCATCTGACAACAATCAGAAATTTCGTAATAACTAAATATAGATTTGAATAAACTGAGAAAACACTACCAAAAGCTTTGAGTTCAAGAAATGAATACATTGTCAGGAAACTTAAAAAAACTAAATGCAGTATTGAGTCTAAATATATTTGTTGCATGTATTCCCTTATACTCAA